CTGTTCTCGCAGTGCTGCCGAAGACTTTCGATTTGTCAGGGGTGCAAAGTCCGTGGGGCCTGAAACGGATGATGAGGGAAGGATGGCACCATCCCAAGACTCTGATGGAGCGCCAGCAGCCTTGGGCATTGAAGGGAGGGAAGGCTTTTTGAATAGACCGGTAGTTGACGCTCGAGGCTTCGTTGATCTTGAAGCGACCGACTTGGAGCCGGACCTGATGGAGCCTTTTTCGAACATCTTCTTCTCAGGGCTAGTGCTTCGCACAGCGTCTTGTATATACGATATACCCGTATTTTCCAACTTGGTCGTAGACACAAGCAAAGCACGGTTCGAAGCCGCTCTGGTCTGTGGAGTGTTTGCAACACTAATAGCGGAAGTCTTTCGTGGAGTACCACTGATGGCTGATAAGGTGGTTTTAAACGGATTCACAGAGGCACGAAATAATGCAGAAGAGTCATCTTGCCCAGCACTAGAGCCCGGTCGACTTCCTTGTCGGGACGATGCTCTTCCAAACCCATCAGAGTTGTAGCTGGAGCCCGGCCTAGAATTTCCCCCATCTGCTCGTGATCTTGGTCGCCCTTGGTCGAAAAACAACGATGACGTTTTGCTCAACGCTGGGGATGGCGGAATCTGTGCCAGGGTTTCCATAGTGCGCTCTGCTAAGGAGGGCCCCGGCTTGGACCTCCGAGTGCTGGGAGTCTGGAAAGTGTGGACAGCTGTTTGATCGCAGTCAAGTGAATCACCCTGAAAAATGGCTTCACCACCAAGCTCAGCCGCATTGCCGGATAAGGTGCTCGGGCTAGAAGCATGCGGGTTTTGCGGGGGTGAATGATCCCAATCGTCTTCGTTGGCGGCATTGGAAGAAACATCGATGGCTAAAGGCTGTGGTGTTGTTGAACTAGCTCGCTGTTGAGAGCTTGGACTGCTTGGTTTTCTCTGAGTCTGGTTGAGTTGCGGCTTGGTCTTTATAGGTTGAAGTGTGCTCGAGCGAATCTGATCTCGTGAGGATACCGATCGCAATGGGCTGCCTCTATTGCCGACAACGCCTACGCTGTTGCGAAGTTGATCTCGGGATGCAACGGGTCTCAATTTTGGCGGATTTAGCTCCCCTCCACCAAGACTGTCTCTAGAAGCTTTGGGACGAACCGGTGTAGTTGTCGAGGTCGAGGTCGAAGCCAAAGGGGCAGTCTTCGGCACGCTTGATCGTGGTACAGGGAGTCGAGACGGGCGGGGGATGCCACTTGGGCGGTCTCTCGGACCGTCCATTTGTGCCTGAGAATGTGCCGGCAGAGAGCCACGAGTAAGGAGCTTCAATTCAAGGAGTTATTCAAGGCGAGGCATGTATCGCGTCCAATGGGAATCTTGCCAACATTGACAGTGGTTTGGACAGCTGAAGCTAGATCGTGGGTGTCGCAGCAACGGAAGTAAATAAAAGGTCAATGCTTGGTCTTAGCGCTGCCGCTGATGAATGAAGAGAATATCTGCCGGCACTTTCACAGCGGGCACGGGGCACTCAGGAGATGACTGAAGGTTTGTCTGGCTTCAACTGCACAAAATGGCTCGGTTCAATGTTGGTCAGAGACGAGTGTGCAGATGTGCAGACGTGGAGACGTGTATGGAGATGGGGGTTCTGGACTGGTGGCTATTGCCAATTGGCGACGGGGAAGGAGCGCTCGAGGATTAACCGATAAGTTTCCAAAAAGTTGATAACTGACATGGTACAGGTCGAGGACCCAAGGGTCCATATAGCAAAGACTAAATTGACTTCATCCAACTGACTGCTAAAGTATACGGAGCATTGGTGCATGGATCAATTGCCTCGGTACGTAGTATTCCCTAGACGAACAATGATTGATGGACCAAATGACCCTTGTCAGGGGCAAGGTTTTGAGACATGTTGGCACGTTCTGAGGGAGCACCCGATGGGCGGTTCAACCTCGCTCTCCTCTAACATATGCATGTGTGAGATGTGGGTGAATTATTCCAAATGCTAGCTACGGGTAAGACACCGAACTGAACTACTACCCGTTGGCAACCTCAAACTTGTTCATCTCCAAGCGCCGCACATTGCGGCCCATGTCCACCTGTCAGGTACAGAGATCTGGTAGCAGCTCAACACTTCTTGAATGTGCCATTACAACAACTCCGTGTGCTAATGTGTGATGATTGTAGTGCAATGAGGCGAAGTTACGACGGCTCGTCTCCCTGTCTCATAGATGATGTCAAGCGGCATGGAATGGATTGGCCCGAGAAAAGAAGCGGCAATGTCTCTGTAACGACGCCGGACTCTGACCATTGACCAAGGCCGCATAAGCTAAGCAGCTGTAACAAGACGGTGCATACTACCAGGTTTAAAACGCGGACAAGTACTGAAGGGTGTTCTCGATCGGATCTCAGGTTGCTCATACCAAGCCGAAAGGTCGAGTCTATGTTATAAAATCGCCTCGGTAAGCCTCTTGACCGTGAGCTACAGTGTTTCGCCCCGTTCCAGTCAATAAGATGTAGCCAATGGTTGTTTTGAACGTACAGGGAGCATTAGAAAACGGGAGGTTTCGATACATTGTGCTATTGCTATCTTTCATGCATTATTATATACTAGGCAGCAGTCTTCTTTTATTCACAAGGACACCAACGCGTCGCGACTGTCTGTCATAAATTTACATTCCTCATTGATGCAAAAAGTTCTACCTTTTGCAAGATGAGATTAACCGCCGCCCTTCTTTCCTTCGGTCTCGTCGGAATAGTTGCGATTTTTGCTTACCCAGACCTACAAACTGACGAGGCTATACTATTATCACGCACGTAGAAATGCAGGGGAAAATAGTCAATGGAATTCATGCTTTATATTAGTTGGGTAAAAGTGACGGCGTGGATCAAACGAATGTTGGTGAAAGTTGAGGAAAGGCAACGTTGCGTCAATGAACATGGGGTAAGTTCCTCAGCTCCTTGCGTCTCGGCAAATGTTCTCTATACTCTCGGATCTGTGAATTTTACGGTTGATTCCATCAAACAAATACATGATGCACGAAGAGGGCCCGTAGCTGCGGGGGACATGTGCTGTATAAATCAAGAGTTTGTCAAACAAAAGTTACGACTGAGTCCCGATGGGGTGGATACATACAGTACAGCTGCACTGTACCCGTAGTACAGGAGAACTTGTACTCCGTATCGCAGGAGCAAAATAGGAAACATTTGGCGGACGGGGGGGATATAAAGATTAATAATGATTAAGTAAATGAGGTCGTGATACGGAGTAGCGTGAGTGAAAAGAGAAGGCGAAGCCGATTGACCAGGCCACGTCCGTCACATCCAGCTTCTCACTGTATCACACTGTCTTCATGCCCTCCTTCGGGTCTCGTCATCAAGCAGGGGCGCAACTGCCATTCTTTGTGACGGAGACAAAGCGCTGCTTGGGCACCAGTTGGCTCAAAAAATCACGACAACGGCACTCAAATTCGTGCTCGTCAAGGAAGGTTTATCCTCGCAAAGTGGAGAGGTTTTGACGAAGCCAAGTTTGGAACTTGGAATGCTGGAATATGCCCAAATTACGCCTTGGCCTCCCATCGGAACCTCCCAGTCGATTGGCCACCCGTTCACGCATGGATAGCGGCAAGCCCGCAAAACGACACATGATTGAGCGTTGAACAGACTCGTCTCTCCACTTAATAGTCGAGTCGTTTCTTGGGGTTGGTTGGGCTGCAAAGACGGTACTCCGTAGACCTGGGCAACAATGCCGAGTTTCATTTGCTAAGGCCCGCGCCGCAAACTCTAAAGCCACCCGGGACATGTTGAGGATATTGATTCGGACTCTATTATAAGCAAAGGCCAAAGACCGTGCGAGGCGTCTGGAGTTTCTTTCAAATGGCAGCGCACCTCGCACAACAGGCTTGGAACAAAGCCATTACGGGGAAGGCATTGGCCAGCAGGTACTCGGCCCATGCTGTGTGTATGGACAGAGTACATGCACTCCGGTAACCCAATGCGAATGCCTGCATGCATGAGCACACAATAATCAAGGTGGCAGGTTCTTTGCAACCCTGAACCCTGCCACTGCTTGCAAATGTCTGCCACACACGCAAGATATACTTTGGTCGAGATCCACCTCGGGCTTCAAGACAAGATCCCAACTAGGCCACGGCTTGGGCCAGAGCGGATACCAGACAATGCGCGGCCTCGCAGTTTCGCGGAGAGCGGAGCCTGCCAGATGCCTTTGAATGTTTGGGCTGGCGAGGTCATTCGGAGATGGAAGGGGAGGCTCGTATTGGGCATCGTCCACACTGTCACCACTCTCGCCGACATGTACAAATATATCACGACGCTCCAACCAGGCGACGGTTGAGCCGTGCTGCCGTGCAACCCTTGGAACACTCGACCTCTTTGACGTGCGCTTTTCCCGACCCGATTTCCTGCCTCGAGGCCGCCTCCACGGTCATTCGGCACTGCAGTCCCGTTATTCTAGGCTCGATCTCGTCTTGCGCTTGCAACGTGCCTTGACCACAAGGTCCAGCTGCTTCGTTCCAGAGTCACGCGTTGGTGGCTGTCGCTCAGCTGCCGCTCAGCTGCCGCTCACATCCAATCCAGCCGTCGCCTTCCCAACCTCCACCCGATCCAAGGAAGAGCCCACGACCCTCCTCCCTTCAGCCAGGGAAGCCCGACGCTGGTCAAACGCCAGTCCACCATTTGAGCCCATTGTCAAGCGGGGGGGCCTGGACGGTCAACGTCATAGCCCACATATTACAAGTCGTATCTTCCCACGCCCGCTTCGTCTCTCTATCTTTGCCTACCTGCAACGGCAATTTTCTTCCATCTCGATCCATACCACACACACAGCTGCACTTATCTCGCCGCTTCTGCGTCCCTTTGACGAACGAAGAACAAAACCTACAACCGCTCTTGGTGCTGCTATACCCTCAACTCCAACACCCCCGCCTGGTTTCGCACTACAAAGCACAGCCACAAAGAGACGCCCGGGTGCTGAGTTTGTACCCAACGAATTTACCATGGGTAGTGAACGTTGGGAGCGCGATCGTTTCGAAGACGATAGATACTACATGAGGGGCGGCAGGGGCCGAGAGCGTTCTGAGGATCGCTACGACCGCAGCCGATACTATGAAGACGACTTTGTGCGAGACCGACGATACCACGACGATGAACTCCGATACGAGCCAAGAAGAGAGCCAGCCCGTCAGCCAGAGTTCGATCGTCGTATGGTCATAGAGAAGGAAAGAGACCGAGAGTACTATAGGGATTCTTCCCCGCGCAGACCTGCTTTCCTCCGACGTCAGTCTTCCTTGGATACCTATGATCGACGTCCGCTTCGCAATATTTTCGACCAGCGCGAGGAATACCCCCCTCCTGCTAGACGAGAAGACATATTTAGGGACGAATACCGGGCCCCACCTTACACGCCTATTCCTCTCCCAAAGGCCAGAGGCCTTCCCCCTCCCGGAAGACGGGATGATCGATACTATGACTATCGTCCAGAGTCGGAATACTATCCGGAAGACGAATATAGACATATGCCAGAGCGTGTTAGGGAGCGAGAAATCATCAGGGAGCGTGATAGGAGGGATAGGAGTCGAGAATCAAGGGGTACTCGAACTCACACCCACCGCAGCAGCTCACGATCCTCGAGCAGCTCCTCCAGCAGCGGCGGCGGAGCCACAGTTCGCAGCGAGTACCCGAAGAAAGGCAAAACCAAGATTCCCCTCCGTTTGGTTTCCAAGAGAGCCCTTATTGATCTCGGGTACCCTTATGTGGAAGAGGTAAGATTGTTTTCTTTCTTTCTTTCTTTCTCTTTTTTGGCTTAGCTGGGTCAGGCTTGTGCTGATATGAAGATAGGAAAATACAATCATCGTTCAAAAGGCTCTAGGCCAAGACAATATCGATGAACTACTAAAATTGAGTGAAGAATACATCAAAGGTATTGTATTAGCCAATCTTACTATTGCACTCCAGATGGGGGGTTCTTTTGCTAATCAAGCTTCTAGTTGATCAAGAGGTTATCGCGGCCCGCTCTGCTGCTGGTGACATAGTCGAGGAGAGAATCGAGGAACGGAAGCAGAAGGTCATCGAGACAAAGGCCCCGCCGCCTCCTCCCCCGGTGGTTGTTCCGGCACCACCTCCAGCCCCTATTGTGGTCCCGCCTCCGGCTCCGGTTCCGGTTCCGGTTCCTCCCCCTCCCCCTGCTCCGGTTATCGTGGATGCAGGTCCTCGCGTCGACATTGTAGACAAGACTGTCATTCGGGAAATATCGCCATCACGAAGCTCTAGTAGCTGGGACTCGGGTCACACTCATCACCATAGACACCACCACCACCATGATGATGGTGCGCTTGTAGTCGTGCCTCGTTCCCGTTCCCGATCCCGGACCCGCCGCGATATTCGCGCTGAGATCAAGGCACTAGAACGAGAACTGGTGCACCGGCCAAGGGCAGAGGTGGAGCGTGAAGTGGTGCGAACCGAAAGACTGCCGGACGGCCAGCTTGTAGTTTATGAAGAGGAAGTTGAAAGGACAGTTGCCCGGCCTAAACCTCCTCGGATTGAGAAGGACAAGAAAGGTAGGATGTCCATCAGCGTACCAAAATATCGATGAAGGTGCGCACGTTATTTGCAACTTGCATCCATCGCTAGGCTGAGCTTGCGGCTGACGAGATGCCGAGTAGGACCACCTCCAGCTCTTATCCGAGCCATGTTGGGCACTCTGACGTGAAGACGGAAAATGAGACGCTCATTGACACCGATAGTCGAGTGGCTTAAAGCACGTCGAGTGTAACGTGATAGTGCTCGCTCGCCGACTGCGTCTGCGAACGGATATCTGGCCACGAAGTGGTGATTCGAAAGCATGACGGCTTGGCCTTGGAGTGTGGACAATGTAAACTCTATTACCTCGACGCAGGCGCGGAATGAAAAATACGTTGGGCAAAGGGAATATGAAAGTAAGCGTTTGGAGTTATGATGCCATGACCATGTACCCATTTGGAAGTTTATAAAAATATTTACATGCAGCCATTTTCTTGTAACAGGGCTTTCTCATGTATGCGACAGCTTTACAGAAATTCATCAACAAAGTGGCTTACACTGCAGGGCTTTCCCTCAGCAAGGCAGACACATGTACTATTATTGCAGGTCAGCTTTAGAAGGCAGCGATGTTCTTTTCAGACAACCAATTACACTACCGGGGGGGGAGGGGGGATTTTGAGAGAATGGCACTTTAGCAGAGTATGCAGTTATAAATCATGTCATATGACGTCAAGGTCGTGTCTCGTATTTGCATGTGAAATGAGACGTCAAGATGCCTCGAGTGTAGAAATGTGCATGCAGCATCATTTCAAGATGATGTTATTGGCTGCCTTTTTAGGTGCCTTGAGTGCCTGTTTTGTATATTTCCGGTGCTTTTTTCTTCTTTTCGGCTCCGCCCCTATTTCTTGCTTTTCCCCCAAAGTCGGTGGCTAAGGCTATCGCGAGACAGCTTTAGTTGGTGTGCCGTAATAAATCACTAATCTTGTTAGCGTATCTGACGCATAACGATGCGCAGACGGTGCACCGGACTCTTTGGTCTCTTACTAGTATTTTTGTGGCTTAATACAGCTTAATACTGTGATTCCTTCTGCTTACACGATACTTGTGTCATGCCTGTATTATTATTTGTCCAGAGAATAAAACAAAAACAACACTTGATATAATTTCTTAGTAAGTTTATGAATCTCGTGTGCAAGTATTCATCATTGGCCAGAACCCTGGGCCGCCACAGCCATTAGACCTGCGCACGTTCAAAGGGAGGCGGTCGACGGCAGGAGAGCCAGGCTACCGGAATCATTCCGACACGTGAAATACTACTTGAGCGGTGGGCTTTCCCCCCGCCCGAGGCAAAGGCTTCGGATAAATCCCGACAAAAAAAAGCCAAACCTTCAAATAGGCACGATTGCCACCGTGACGGGCGAGAAGCGTTGACACGCACGATGTGAAGCTGCCAAAACAGAAACTCTGCGTCAAGAGCCACAGTTCTACCGGCACACTATTCTGTTTTGCCAAACTCGAATCGCCGTCCTTCCGACCAGGCAGTTCTGACGTCCGTCAACGCCATGACGGTGGCCCTCAACGTCGCGCAGCTGTGGGCGCAGCTGGTGGCCACGCACGACCCCTACACAATCGACATTGTAGGCAATTTGGTGGTGCAATTTATATTCTGGTGGCTCCCCTGCCTGTTCTTCGTGTCGCTGGACGCCCTGGCGCCGGCCTTCTCGGCGCGGCACAAGATCCAGCCGGCGCCCAGGCAGCCGACGGCGCGGGAGATACGCAACGCGGCGCTCGTCTCGCTGCGCAACCAGGCCATGGTGCTCGCGGCGCAGGCGGCGCTGGCCTGGTACGGGTCGTCGGGTGACAGGCACGGGCGGGGGCCGGCGGTGCGGGTGGAGCCCGGGCTCCCGTCGGCGGCGGAGCTCGCGCGCGACGCGGCGCTCTGCGCGGCCGGGCGCGAGGTGCTCTTCTACTACGCGCACCGGCTGTTCCACGTGCGCTGGCTCTACCAGCGCGTCCACAAGGTCCACCACCGCTTCACGGCGCCCGTGGCCTTTGCCTCGCAGTACGCGCACCCCGCGGAGCACCTGCTGGCGAACGTGCTGCCGGTGGCGCTGCCGCCGATGCTGCTGCGCGTGCACGTCGTGACCATGTGGGTGTTTGTGGCGTGCCAGCTCGTCGAGACGGCGACGGTGCACAGCGGCTACGATTTCCTGCGTGGGCTGGCGAGGAAGCACGACCGGCATCATGAGCGGTTCAATGTTTATTTTGGCGGTATTGGGGTGTTGGGCTTGGGGGCTGGGAGGCGTGTTGGACTGGTGGCATGGGACGGACGAGAGGGGCGGGCCGAAGGCGGGAGGGAAGGTTGATTAGAGAGGAGGAAGGAGATGAATGTGTCTGGTCTGGCTTGTCATGGGATGGAGTACTAGTACCAGAACGTTTGTGGTGATGCTCGCTGTACGGGGGTATTAACGGGGGGGATGGTTTCGCTCTGTAGTCAAAGTGAAATTACAAGCATGATACGAGTATCGTGCAAGCGTAAAATCTGATAATACAGTATTGGGCTGTACGGGTGCATGAGTTGAAGACATCTGGCTGGTGAAAGGAAACTACATGTGTGCTACCTAAAATACCTGGTTGTATAGTACCAAAACCAAAAGAAAGGAGAGGAAATACAAAATTCCATCATTTGCTGCCATATCCCTCGCTTCATGTCTCCGATCTGCAGGTATACATTGCCGCCGTCTTTACCGCGTCTTCTTCTGCGCGACAGGCCCGGCTCGAGACGGCGTGGCGGAGAAACGCAGATATGCAAACACGAGCAATCCGCCGACAATGAGCGCAACAAAGTTGCCTAAACATGGTAAGCATGAGACCTTTTCCATGGAAATATGTACATGTGCAATAAAATACGAATAAAATAGCATCAATGCCCGCACGCGAAATGACGACAGGGCCAAGTGACTCACTTGCGACAAACTTGCCCACGCCGCCCGTCAAGTGGACAGCCTCCCGGACAATGCTCTGCACCAGGCTCAGAATGCTGGCGACGAAATTCCATACGGTGGTGAATGCGGCATGAATGACGGCGTAGATGGTGGAAAGGATCGAGGCGAATAGCTCGTAAATAGACTGGAACAAGTCCGACACGGCGGTTGTGAGAGTCATATTGCTGGGCTTTGCAGCATTGGCATGAAGGCGTGTGGCATCAATTACTGTCTAGTGTTGCTCTGCATGGTAGCTACTTATTTATCGCTCTGGGACAGCTGTTCGGATCATGCCACCAACAGTCCCAGAATGAGGGACTACTTCATAGTGACGTGCTTGACTGTGTTGGTGCTGAACAGGACTTGATGGCATCTCGAGGGCGGCAGTGAAGACGGTGACGTCACGCGATGACAGAATAGGGTGACGGATATCAGGGCGGAATGGATGGTGAGCCTGAGGCATTAGCGTTGGAGGCGTTTGCGGCGGCCAACTGTCAAGTGCTCAGTGTTGACATGTGGACTTTAATGGTTGGCTCCTGCCGCACCAGACAGCCACTGTCCGTGTTCGCTGGGCTCACTGGCGTTTTCAATCCCCTTGACGTCCAGCATCATTGATGCTTCTAGCCTGGCCGTTTTTGCTTTCCAGTGTCCCCAACCAGGCACGCGCAAGGACGCCACCGCCGTCGCCCGCTCTTATTTTGAACCTTGTCCTTGATTTAACGTGCTTCTTTTGCCGTCCTTGAGCACAGTTTTCAGCCGACTCGCCTTGGTGGCTGCTCTTATTAAAGAGCCCAGAGGACTGGCTATGAAAAAATTGAAATGCACCGGGGATTGTTGGTAACTGGTCACTGCGTTTCCATTCCGCAAAGAATAAAGCCGACTCGTTGGAGATTAAAGAAAAACAACTGTGGCGCGGGTAAAGAGCTTGACTGCATATTTACCGCGCCAACGAGATTGAGAGAATCGTGAGAGGCTGTATCAAGCGGCAAAAACGCTCCAGTCGCTAGATGGCGACAAGTCCCAGCTGTTAGCCGCCAGAAAGTACTAAAACTAGCAGCGGGGAACCGCGCATGTACATGACCCGTACAATATGCCTGGCATCTCACATGGAATTCAAGTCCCAGGGTGCTTGACTCGCTATCACCAAGTCGGCGGATCGTAGGCAAGCCCCCTTGCCTTGTCATTGGTGGGACTCTCATCGGCTGGTTCTGTCCCCTATGAACTGACTGATACTGTTTCGATATGCATAATAGGGACTCTGGGGGTTATGAAGCGGATTTGGTCCAATTGGATCTATAATCGCAGGGGTCTTTGTTGAAGCGCTGCCTTGGTGGTCGTGCCTTGCATCAAGGATGTGCGATTTATGATATTAATCCTGCGTGCTCATGCCTGCGCAGCTGGCAGCATGACCCGTCGTGAGCGATATTACACAAATGTCATAATTATATGGAGTTCCCTGCTAATTAGTTCAATGTTCATAACTGGGAGGGCCAAGCACAAGCAAGTAAGGCGGCAAGGCTCCGAGAAGCAAGTGGACCAGACTTAATGCCAAGACTAAAGAAAAAAAAATCAGACTTGACCAGTTGACACTTTAACGGCCCATTATCGAGGTCCAAGAACCAGGCAACTAACCACCTCCCTAGGCAGGCATTTGGCGTCTTCGTCCCCCCGTTTCGTTGATCCACGCATCCCCCTCCATCATGCAAGGCTCGTCATCGGCCACCTCCATTGGTAGATGCTTGTGAAAAGCGAGATGGAGGATGCACCGAGACATGGCTCGAAACAGAACAAAAGGATGCCTTGCCTGTTGACTGTTTCCGCCATCGATGGGCCACCAGACCCGTCGTCTTGGATCCCCGGCCAGAGACGCCATCCAAGCTATCCATGTCCATCCACGTCGATTCCATGTCGGCTTTACGGGGCTGACGAGCTGGCGACGAGCCCATTCGCCTCTCTCCATACCATCTCGACTCGAGCCCGCCCACCAAACGCCGTCGCCCGTCGGCACATCACACAGCTGGCTAGGGTCGAATGAAGCATATTTACTAGTCCTACCTACCAAACGGCAGCAACATTTGAACCCACATGC